AACAAATCACCCCCAGATGTGAAATCCAGGCTATGTTCAAGTTCAACTGGGAAGCAGAACTGCCGCAATTTGCTTCTAAATTCGGAATCAACCAATAAATATCTGTGATTACAACCTCTGGCCTCCTCTCTTCCACATGAATCACAGAATTTTTTTTAGACGTTTTAAATCTAGTCCAAAACTTCTCATGTTGTAGATGAGAAACTGAGGGCCAGATACCGAAATGCCAAACACAAAATAAATGACATTCACAGAAAACTTTCTCAGCAAAACACCACAGGCTCTGAATGGAAGATTTTGTTTTTACTGTGGTTTCCTGAGACTGGGCTTGAGAGTAGAGAAGGAAAAATAGCCTCAATCTTTTTTTTAAAAAAAATCCTACATGTCCAGCATTCACCTAACAACTTCTAAAAGTATGAAGTGTCGTATGAAGATTCATTCAATCCAGCTAGGTCAAAGCCACATATAATCAACTCAACTTTGATCCCAGTCACCATTACAACAAAAACCTGCCTAGGACTGACTGAAAGTGTCCAGCTTGTTCCTCAAACCCCATTACTCCTCAAACCCACCTACGTACAGATAAGCGAAGCCACACAGACGGTGGGAAGAACAAGTTTTCACCAAGTTTTTAAAAAGAGTAGAAGATGTGATAGAAACAACTGGTTACAAAGGGATAGAAAGGAAATTGAAAATTTTTTAGAAATTTACAAATGCAGTATCTATTTTGTAATATTTTTGGAGCCCTTGCCACACAGCCCTTTGCTAGAAAAGCTGTATTTTTAATTACATGGTTTTGTCTCCTTTAATATTAGCTGGTGCGAACCTATGCATCAGTTATCAAGCCATGCTGTGCCGGGGGTCCCACATATAAAATAGAGGAAGATGGGCACGGATGATAGCTCAGGGCAAATCTCCCTCAGGAAAAAGAGGGGGATTGGTGGTGGACCTTAGCTCAGGGCTAATCTTCCTCAAAAAAAAGTTCATTTTCTGTGAAGACAGAGCTTGAGGGGTAGGAGTGGATAGGAAGGGAGGGAGAAGAGGAAATGTCACTCTTCTGCTCTGACCACTACAACTTGGCATTAAGCATTGCCCTTCGTGCAAGGATCACACAAGGGTAATAGGCCGACTAGGATAAAGTTAGGGAGCACAGTCCCTATAGTCAACCACGGAGAAGCCAACGCTTGTTGGCAAGAGCTGACTGAAAATCAGCAGAGTGCAGAGAAAGCCTCTATGAACCTGACATGAAAGATCCAATCAAAACAGGAGGATGGAGAGCCTATTATTATTGTTCTCATTACAAAAAGAAAATAGTCATTAGAAATTGACCTTCTTCAATTTCTTCATTATGACCTGCATAAGCCTTCTTCCAATTATTTCCACAGACAGGAGATTCAGATTTCTAATTAAAAATCACTATGCACAGAGCCAACTTTGAGTCAGCAGAGAACTTCCCTAATTATTACACTGCGTTCTCTTTGAGCCATTTGTCTTACCTGGCTAGCTCTCTACTCTCACCTCAACAACAAACAACAAACCTCAGACGAAGACTAACGTTTCCTCAGATAAATATACTTCAGCAAATCTCCTGATACTTCTAACTAAAATCCCCAATGCGTTAGTCATTTTAACATCCCCTAGGGTTAAAAGTCTGATTAGTATACTGCATGGGAGTGGAATCCTCAGGAGGATTTCGCTCATTCTGCTCAACCAGGACCAAAAAGGAGATACTACAGAACTCCTGCTCCTTGACCACAAAATGAATGGATGAAACAGGACCCAAGAGAAGATTAACTAGAGGTGAGGGTGGGAGTGCTGGGGAAGGCAGTATGAAGAGAGGCTGAGTAGTGGAATAAAGGAGGCAGTTAGAAAGTTCCCAGCAGTTAAGAGCACTGATCTTCAGATTTCCGGGTGTTACAAAGATCCACAACAAGAGGCTGAGAGCGGCAGCTCCCTGAAGCCTCCAACAGGCACATTCAGTCCTGTCAGCCTGGACTCAGCCCTGCCAGCACCAGGAAACAAACACACACATTCTTCTCAGAGCTGACACTGCACACAACACGCCTTCTCCACAAGGCCTGTTTATTTAAGAAACCAGATGCTTTGATGTCGGGATACAAGTTGGGAAGTTATGTGTAAAGAAGTAGTTAATGACAGGAGCAGAGGGAGGACAGAGAATGAGCAACAGTTCCCAGCTTTATTAATCATAAGATTAAAAAGTTTTAAGGAAGTTGTCAAATGGTCTGAACACAGGAATGAGAAGTAAGGAAATTATGTCAGCCACCACCGTAACTCTGGCCAAGGCATTTCATCTGTTTCTTCAAGACAGAGTTTCATGCCTAACCTCAAAGGGGTACTTATAGGAGGAATGTTTTGAAGCAATCCAACTTAGCAACCAACATTAATAAAATCTCCTAGGCTTGCTCAATTTCTCTCCTGTACACAGGTTACACATGTCATGAACACTCCAAGCACTTCAAGGAAAGAATCAGTTAAAAGTGTGGCATGAAAACAGTTTTGGGTTAAAGGCAAAAGGAAGGTTATTTATTGAGTCTAAGGAAAGAACATTTATAAATACACACACACACTTGTTGGATTTCATGAGTGAAGAAGCCTGAAGTGTTATAGGTCATTAGGGCACAGGTCTCCTGAAACCAGAAGAATATAAAACTACTATCATGTTTTAGTTCTACTTCCTTCTTAAGAAGATTAGTTAAATGCCAACATAGTCTCGCAAGCCAAATAAGCCACAGAAATAGGTCTAGGAGATTTGCTAAAACCTTCTGAGGCTTTTCATCCTCTTTCCTCTGTATCTCGGTACCCCCAGCATCTAGCACGTATTTGGACATCTGGAAGGCAATCACACACACTGACTACATGAATTAATGTCACCTGACAAGAACAGCAAGTTCTATAACAAATAAGAAGAGAATCAAGAACTGTTGATTCTTCTTGGGAATTGAATCCTGTCATTTTATGAAAAACTACTCTAAATGGCACCTTCCCAGCTGTACAAAAGTGTACGATATCTCTGATAAAAAGTTCTTCTGTCATGGTGATACGTTTATCTCACACTGCTTATAAAGGGTCCAAAAATACTAGATCTCTTCAACACGATTTAGGATGCTTTGTCATGACTTCTAAAAATATAGAACTGAAAAGCTGAACAGACCATTACATAACAATTCTTGGTTAAGGAGGTAGACCTCAACTGCTTTATTCAACCATTTCCAAGGTGAAGAAGATTATTAACAGTGCCTCCACTTTTACCACATGTACACGTTACCTTTTTTAATTTAAAATGATGGGATCTCTGAAGAAGAGACCAAGGATGATTAACAAATGCAAAAATAGCTACTCAAAATTAGATCACTGGAGGAAGGTTGAAAAAAAAATCATTGGAAACAGTAGCTAAATAAAATGAAAAAAATAGAGGGAAGTTTCTCTATATATGGATGTCAAAGAACGAGTGGGTTCAGGTCTGCTCTCAAGTAGATTTGGCCTAAGGGCCCCCTGAGCCAGTTTTTTCAACGTCTTGCTTTAGAAATCAGTATACTACAAATGAGATATCAATTAAACTGGGGAAGACTCTTGAGGAAAGGAATAAATGCACAAGTAGCCACAGGTCCTAAAGGTAGGTCAACCAGCAAGAGAAAAATCTAAAATACGGAGTACAAATGCTGTGTCCAGCTGGCTCAAGGAAGGAAGTGGTCCTGTTATAAATTAAGCATCAGTGTTGTAAAGCCTTTCTCAACTCCCCACTGTGAGATGGAAGTCTACACGATTATTGTTTTTCTCGTCAAACAGGAAAACTTCCCAGTACTCATTCCACCCTATCGGCGCCCAGCCTGTCCCACCCGTCAGCACTAGCTTGGCCACCTTTATGCAGCTGCTGCTTGGAACCCATTAAGTGAGGTTATCCCTGATTGCTTGTGCCTTGACTCCAATTGCCCTGGGTCCCCAGCTCTGAGAATTCGGCACAGATAACAAGGACAGTCCAGGTAGAGGGAGAAAGATAGTTTAAGGGGAGACTGAGGTTGGGCTGATATGGAATGCACAAGGACAAATGCAGGTGGTCACTTATCTCTGTCCCCATGTGCAACTCTCTATGAAAAAGGAAAGGATATAACGGAGAAAATACACTAAATTGAAAATACATCATGCAAACGTGGGTAGCAACAATTAAATCGTTTTAGAAAAACATGAGGAATGAAGATGCCCACGTTGCACTGAAGCAAGGAGCCAGGACACGCCTAACAATAGGCTTGGTCAATCCAGCAGTGCAAAGGTTGAACCGCTTGTTCCCAGGGAGAGAAGCGCCACGATTTTTAAAGTCTTTGACTAGGACCCAGCTCAGAGCAGAGTATCTGCAATGTGTTACTTAACGGTTAGAAACCTTGTCACAACAGAATGTAAACATCCTGGTCAGAGTCCGATGCCACCATAGAAGGTCAAATTGAAGGCGCAAAAGAGATCACACACACTGCCATCCCTTTTCCAAGCTTGTTCCGTTAACTATTCAAATACACGCAGTAACCTAACCACTGCTTTGGGATTCTGAACACCCGCCTACCCGTCCTGAAAGCACAGACCCAGAGAGGACACACCTTTGCTTCTGCGCAGCCCAACTTCTGCAAGCACTTAAGAGGTAATTATTCCTCCAGCTTCCTGGTGGCTTCCAGCGTTATTGGATCCTGACTCTTTATACACACAGAAAACAACGACGCTCGAGAGATTTTGACAACTTACAAAAACGAATGCCATGAAAGTCGAAGACTGCCTCTCCTATGACGAAACACAGCCGCTCGGGCCGCGGCGCCCGGGGGCCGCTCCCCGGGCCGGACTCCGCCCGCCGCAGTTTCGGGGCCGCGGCCCGGGGGGCGCGGGCGCTGCGGGGCCTGGGGCTCGTCGGCGGAGCCGCGAGGCGCGCGGCCAGAGGAGGAGGGGCCGGCGGCGGCACCTCGCGGTCCGGGCGGCGCCCGGGCCCGGCGCCCGCTCACCTGGTGCGTGTTGTTCGCCAGCCTGGCGACGAAGTCCCGGACCCGGCCGCAGTCGTCGTCCTCGTCGAGCGCGCTGCGCCGCCAACGGCCGCCGCGGGGAAACTGGCCCCCGGGCGCGGCCGCGCGCAGCCCCCAGCTCACCCCGACGGGGCCGGACCAGCGCGACAGCGGCGCAGCGGGCGGTGGCGGCGCGTCCAGCCGGTCCTGGCCGAGCGTTGCCCGCGGCAGCAGCTGCAGGAGGAGGAAGAGGCCGAGGCCGTGGGGCCAGCGCGAGAGGCCGTCCGCAGCTTTCCGGGGCCGCTCCATCGCCGCCGAATGCCGACGCCGCCGACACCTGCCGCCCGGCGCGCCCGCCCACCCCCGCCGGCGCCGCGCCACACCCCCGAGCCCGAGCCCGGCGCTCCTTGGATACGCGCAGCCGGGCCTCTCCGCTCCCATAGGCTGGCCGCCTGTCCTTCTTCCCCGGGCCACTCCTCATTGGCTCGCGTCGCCTCCGGCTTCGGGGGTCCTGGATTCGGATGCCAAGATGCGGGACTGATTGGCTGGAACGTGGCAGAGACGGCTGAGGTCATCCCCTCCTCGCCTGGCGTCGCCAGGGCCGGGCTTCCAGAGTTAGCATTGGAGCTTTCCGCTTCTTCTAGTGAAGCCCCCTGCTCCGCGGCGCCCCGACCTCTTGCTGCTCCCTCCGGCATCCTCAAGTTGGGGTTGGGTTAGTCCCCCTCCTCTCCCCGAGAGACACTTCTAAAATTATTGGGGTTGCGGCAGCGCCTGGAAATCTCAGGGAATCCCTGAGCCTGCTCAGCTGGAAAAGGGGGCTTCGTCATGAACCGGCGCTTCAGGTTTTTAACCCCCGCGCACTGGAGCGCCCAGTGTCTGCTGAAGCCGCCGCCTTGCTGCCAAAAAGGTGAATGCGAATTGTGTGGGCTACATCCTATGGAGCCAGATAGACATCAGGCCGTCCGTGACTCAGGCAAGCTTGAAGAAAAGTCTCTCCATCACGGACGGCCTCGCTCACCTTCTTCTACAGGGAGTTAGGCCAAAGTTGGAATTGCTTATTGGTTTTCCTGGAGTTAGAAAGTAGCTTAGATATGAGGGTCAGGTAAAAGGGGGCGAGAGAATTGCCCAGTGCCTCCTTTAGATGTGATCGTTTCATAGATGAGTATTTATCTTTACCAAAGTGCCTAAACCCTGCAGTGAGTGCACTGCACATTTTGGGTTTTGGTATATGATGTCCCCTAGATTAGCACCCCGCCTCCAGTAAATAAAACTAAACCCCTACGCTGTGCTGTTCCCTTTATCGCAGAAAGTGCGCGCACAGAACTTCTAGAACATGCAGCGCAGGTAAAACCAGTTCTGGATCTTAACCCTATTGACTCCCTCCCTTCAGAAGGCTACAAGTTGTCCAGTAGAAAAGGTAGCAAACAGAAGATACAAAGAATACAAAACGTTACATCCAAATAAAGCAAGCAACTAGAAATTACTTTTAACTATAAACTAGAGGTAAACCCAAATAAGAATATATTCATTGTAGAGCAAAATGGTGCAGTGCACCCAACCCAATGTTTACATTAAAATCCTTCTAATTGGGTTACTCTGAAAACAAAGATTTACAAATTTATGTTTTTCCAGAACAACCATAGTAAGACGTGAGAAGTGAAAAATACTTTTGAACGGCATCTGAGCAGGATGGTAAAATCACTAGAATAGCCTTCCAAGTTATCAGCTACTGAAATGACAAGATAAAGCTCGATGAAAACTGGTGAACAGTTTGCTCCTTTCCATTAACTACCATGTGTCAGATTATTTTTTAATCTATGCCAACCAAGGAGTAGATCACAAGACAGTCAGTTCCAGTAGCATGTGATTAGCTGGGGGGAGAAAAGGGGCTATACAGGAATATTTCTTTGTTCGGGTGACACAAAGATGAATGGTCTATTGTCTTACTGTCTGAAAGGAAAAAAGTCAACTCAACAGTGCCATCTCCTGGAGAAATTCCTAAATACACGTTTTAACAGTATTAAATTGTTGCAATTATCTGTACTTTCATTTTTTAATATATTGCTTTTAGTTCTCATTATACGCTTACAGAATATATATTTCCTTCCTCAAACTGTATCAGCTGCTGAGTAACTTGGTACCATGGTACTTGGCATAAGGCACTGAGAAAATGTTTGATTGAATAAAATGTTTTTAGTTTTTCTCTAATGACACAGGCACTAAATACAAAAGTTGCACTGTCAGTGTGCATACTGACACATAAGATCTTACCTTACTTGCAAGACTAAAGTATGTAAATTTATCTTATTACTAAAAACCATACTTTTCTCCAAGATAAATTTTATACCAGAAAGATGAATAGAAAGCAGTTACATTCACAAAGCCATTGCTTTTCCTAGTAAGATCATTTGATTCTATTTAAGTTAGACACAAGAAGAAACCTTGCAGAGTTTTAAGATTCTACAGAGAACCAAAGTTCTCTTTCAAGAATGCTCTAATTCTATTCTTTCAAGAATTCTAAAATTAGAATTATAGAGGGTATGAAATTTACTGTTTCACCAGTTGTAGTCTAAGGTACAAATACACTGCCCAGGCAGTGGGAGGGAAAACAGTGTAAGCTGAAGCTAAGAGCTATTCCTCAGTATTTTTCCCCCTACATAATGCACATAAGACACTACTCCACCTCTCCCCAAAGCAGCATGTTTTTCCATTTCTGCATTAACCAACACTGAGTTAAAGGGAATATTGTTTATGGTCTAATTCCCCCCACTAGAAGCTTCATGGGAGCACACCCTATCTAGTACTTTTACAGCTCTATCCCCAATGCCTAATACATTACTTGGCATATAGTAGGTAGGTACTCAATAAATTTAAATTTGAATAAATAGTTGAGATAGGATTTGATAAAAGATGAACATGAAACTAATCCCATGATCACCATGCTATATTTAATAAGAGGGTTAAAATCACTAGAACAGTCTCCAAAACACTGGTGACAATAGACTCTAGTTCCCTACTTTCCTGACGTGTACGTCTAGGGCAAAATTCTTTTCTTCCAAATGTTTCCTGTCATTGCAGTTTCCAAATATATATAAGCACAATTTGTTTTTTGCTGGGAACACAGTATGAATTTAATATGAATTCGGCCTACTCAAATAATCAGAATTTATTTTGACATCGAAGAGTACAACTCCCTCCAAGCGTTAATGGGGATAAGACACAATCAATTCTGCATTATCCACATATGGATTAGCCATGTTGTGGATAATGCAAGTACATTCTCAATGAGATTTCCCTATTACTCAGTAAGTCTCTAGGCTTCAAGGGACCTGGCATTGCAAAATTATGAGTTGATGATCTAAAACCAGAAAATCTGAGTTCAAGTCCCAACAGCTTAATTTTCTGTGTCCATGGTCACACAGCCTTAGATTCTTCATCTGTTAAGTATAACAATATCTACTTCATATGGCCATTTTTGAGGCTCCAAAAGATTGATAATCTCAATCAGTTATATGATGGTAGCTCTAATATAGTACATTCCAAGGTCTAACGTAAACTATTTCTGAATATACCATTCTCTTACTGATTTGTAATTGATCGCCAGCGAGGCTAAGATCATGAATTCTTTTATAGTCCTTAACTTCATAAAAAAAGAAAATCTCTTTCCAAATTGTCTACTTACAACACAAGAACTGATACAACATTGTAGCTGGCTTATTCTAACCCATCAGTGTTTTGGGGAGGACCTCAAAACATGTTCTTTTAATTGTCAGTCAGTAGCCTCTCCTTTGTATAAGGAAAGCAGCAAAAATACCTATTTACTCAAGAGAAACTATAGGACTGAAATGGGTTTATAGTGGCATTAATATCTTATGAACCACTGGGAGGAGCTGGGCTAGCTTGAGTTCATTTGCCAACACGAAGGGATTCATGAACAGCTGATTCTGTTGCAGAGAGCTACTACAACAATTCAGAATAGAAACTCTGACAGGACAGGGATATTCATACCAATATCCTTTTTGCCCCCTAACATAAGCATTTCAAACAAAAGACTGCATTAGAATAGTCCATTAACAAATATTTTAAAATTTTCTTTATTTCAGAACTGCCTTTATGTACAGACATCATAAAAAAATGCACATACACTGGAGATTTTCCAACGAACAGGAGCTGGAAAGAAACGTTAAGGGCAATCAGGAGAACTGAAATTGTCCCAGAGAAGTTCTGAGGATCACGCTTTCTTAAATGTCCTTGATAACCTCTTCAAGTTCTTCCTTTGTGAACATGTGGAAATTCTGGCCAGGCTGCACTGTGGCTAGCTGGAAAGAAAACAGAGAAGGGTTAATGAGCTGGGCTGGTTACCCTGCTGAAAGTCCCAGCATGGTCACAGGCTGTGTTGGTGAGGCAGCTGTTCACTAGGAACTAAGGGATCTGCTGTCCCAGGGATATCCGTCCCAGCAGCAGGGTCCTAAAATAGCTCTCTGACTCCAAAATAAAAATTCTTATTGACCAAATTTTCTATTTTAAGGTTAACCCACCACATAATAGTTAACCAATGCCTGGTATCACTGTCACTTCTTAAAGTTACTTCAACAAGAATCACAAAAGCAGCAGCAAACCACATGGGGTCAGTACTTTTTTCTGTTAAAGATTCCTTTTGGAAAAACATATTTACACACTTGCAAGTTGAGCTTGTGGTGACCTTGGGTTACTTGGCCACTCTGTGCCTCAATTTCCATTGGTGCCTAGATCATTATAAAAAGCATCAAATAACTGTTAACTATTAGTATTAGGTATTATTTTCTCTAAAATTGTCCCTATCACAACTTAACAACAAAAAGGTTTGTTTTGTTTTTTAAAAGGACAGGCCATGAAAAGATTCCATTAACATCGACAATAGGAAATCAGCTCTTTTTCTCCCCCTGATAAAAACGGCCGCCCTTTATTTGGCACTAGTAATGCCCTGAGCAGCACCAGGGTCTTCACTTGTTTTATTTACCAGGGAAATGCTCACGTGCACCACCTCCTAGGACCGTGCATGATCGTTCTAGTGATGGTGCTGCCTGAATTGGAGTCCACAATAACCACACGTCCCGGTTTTTGTCTCTGTTCAGGCTGATGTAGGGGTGGCCTGGATCCCCCCGCTGCCGTCACACGCTATCACTTGGCTCTCCACTCATGGGTTGCTCTGCTATCAAATCAGTGGCGAAGTTTTCATTCACCTCTTTCTGATGCCCTACAAACCGAATCCTCTTGTCGTCTCCATCATCATAAACCTGGCCAGCGTGCGTGACCTTCTCCCCAGTCGGTGAGGTCCACACCCTGAAGTGCCTGGCACCCCGGGTGGGCTCGGCGCCGCCCCTCTGCTCCAGCCCAGCAGCCGAGGAAGATCACGCCGCTGCCACCTTGGAAATCAGTTTTGACTGAAGATATTAGTAATAACTAGCAGCCCAGATCAAATTTAACTAAAACTGCCACATTTTCCATCATCTGCTGACAACAGAGTCCAACATTTTTGAGCAATATTGAGGAATAGGTGCCACTTCACATTTGCCTAAAAAGCTTTTGTGTTTAATCTGCTTTAAATGTAATGACACTGTAATGATATTTTCTTTTTTTAAAACTTTTAAACATACTAGGGCATTTTTTGACTAATATTCATCACTGGTATTTAATATAATTTGAAAACTGCCAGAATTGGCATAATCCAGTTATATGATGGTTATTATTCTCTGCTTCATCTACAGGTAAAATTTATAAAAAGACTACTGCACATCTTAAAACACCTGAATATGTTTTGGCAACAGACTAAAAAAGGTTCTCTCAAAGCCTGCGGTCTCCACTGGATTCATCCATCTAATTACATGAGACGTCAGAAGAGTCCCAAATACATTTGCAAAATATGTTAAACAGTCTACTCATGTCCATATAGCCCATGAGTTCTATTCCAAGGAAATTAAAATGTATAAATGTTATTACTGCTTCTCTTAAGGACATGAGGACAAAAAAACATAAAGTCAGTAAGAGTGAGGGCCTACAGAATTTTTTGTCAAGTCACTCACAGCTCACAGGCTGGTGCTCCAAACCATTACAGGGGATTAAAAAACAGAAACTAGGCAAACTCTGAATAGAACAGTCGTATGAAACCAGGCTGCGAATCATTACTCATAGGACTTGAACCAAGTACTGCCTTCAGGGAGGTACTTATCATTAGATGAGTAAAAAGAACCCCTTCCATTTACATGATGATAAATTTATTTACATGAATATGAAAGATATTTTTCTATTTCTCTCACTTTACTTTCAAAAACCTGTGAGGCAGGTAAAACAGGTATTGTTTTTCATTCATTCGATCAATAATTACTAAGCATCTGTGTACTAGTTACAATTGCACTAGGCACTAAGGATCCAAAGATAAAGAAGTCTCTTATTTACAGGGTGCTAAATGCCAAATGATTTCAATGTCAAGTAAGTGCTATAAGAAAGCTAAGCATATGTAGGGTAGAAGCACAAAGCAGCGATCTAGGGAAAGTTCAGGAAGGCTTCAAGCAAACTTTGAGTTGTCTTAAAGCATAAAGGGTCAGTTGAGGAACAGAAGGGCAGACTGAATGTGCAAATGCATAAAGGCATGAAACAAGATGATGTATCTGCAAAACTGAATGTAATTCTGAATGGCTAGGGCAGAGGTTGCATATGGGATGAGATAAAATGGAGAGAAAGTAGGAGGTCAGAGCTCACAGAGAGAAAGTATATTGAAGTGGTTAAAAGTACAGGACACAAACTTAGATCCGAGTTCAAATCTTGACTTCACCATTTACCAATTCTGTTATTTTGGGCAAGATCCTATCCTCTCAAAGCCTCAGTTTCGGGGCCAGCCTGGTGGCACAGTGGTTAAGTTCCCGCACTCTGCTTCAGCAGCCTGGGGTTCACTGGTTCAGATCCCACACACGGATCTGCACCACTCATCAAGCCATGCTGAGGTGGTATCCCACATACAAAATGGAGGAAGACTAGCACAGTTGTTAGCTCAGGGCCAATCTTCCTCACCAAAAAAAAAAAAAAAAAAAGGGAAATACCTATCTCATAGGGTTGTTGTGAGGATTAAGATAAATAAATGCATGTAAAATGCTTAGCAAGGTGCCAACAGATTAAATACATGATTTGAGAAGTAGTGAATTATTGTGCCATGAAAAGAAGTTTGGAATTTATCTAGTGGACAGTAGGAGTCAGATTTTTTTAAGTGGAGAACAATCAAAATTAGATATGCAATTCAGAAAATCCACCTGAGTAGCACAATGGGGAGAAAATGGAATGAAATGGAGGAGGGCAAGGCTAGAAGCAGGAAGACTAGTTAGGAAACCTCTGAAGACATACAAGGCAGGAGAAAAATGAGAAAGGCGGCACTGGAAGTAGGGATGGAGAGGGGGCACTGATATGAGACTTATTTATACGGGGGCAAAGACACAGTTCAGTGAAGGGAAAGGGAAGTCAAAGTCTTCTAGATTTCTGCTGTGAATGACAGGCACACTGGTGGTATCATCCAGAGGCATTAGAAATATGGGAAGAGGAAATGGTTTTCAGGAAAGATAATGAGTTTAGTTTTAGAATTGTCAGAAATTGAGGTGTCTGCTTCAGAAAGGTCAAATAAAAGGTCTAAAAAGTGACCTTTTTAGTGTCTAAAATCTGACAAACAGGAATTATCTTAGCAAGGAGCAGTCTCAGGGAAATAATAAGAACAGAAACAAATGGTAGTGACAGAGGAATAAGTGAGAAGTGAGGCAGTGAAGACAACGCATACATAGAATCCGTTTGGAAGAGACCTAGCAATAACGGTTAAAAAATAGGCCTGGGATGGAACAGCATGCAGCAATAAAATGTTAACAGACTACTGACACACAAAACATGGATGAATCTCAAAATCATTATGCTGAGTGAAAGAAGTTAGACACAAAAGAGTACACATTGTATGATCCACTGATATGAAATTCTAGAACACGCAAAATGAATCTATAGTGACAAAAAGCAGATCAGTGGGAAGAAGTGACTAAAAAGAGGTCTGAGGGAACTGTTAGGGATGATGGGGATGTTCTAAATCTTGATTGTGGTGGCAGATACAGGGGTTATACGTTTGTCAAAATTCTGTGAACTGTATACTTAAAATAGGTGCATTTTACAGCATTTACATTATACCTCGACAAAGTTGATTTTTTTAAAAAAGCAGCATAGTAGGTAGAAGGAAGGGTTAACAAAAGTGGGTTTTAAAGATGCAATTTGGAAATTTTTACTTTTTGAGGGGAAGCAGCTGTAGAGAAGGAGAGGCTGGTGATCCAAGGGACAACCGATGGAGCAGGGACCTAAAGATGCAGTGGCTAGAGCAGTGGCTCCCAAATGCCTGACCTTAGACTGACCATCAGAATCACCCAAGGAGATTTCAAAATCACAGATTTCTGGGCCTCATTTCCAAAGACTGATGGACAGCCAGGAAACCATGAGTCAGAGCACTGGTGGAGTAAACAGTCTTGGACAAGTGGAAGTGCCCCTTTTTAATGTGAAGAAAAAAGTCAGGGATTAATACAGTGAATGATAGAGCATGGATGAGACATACCTTATGCTCTTTTCAAAGCAACATTGTAGTTGCATTGACATTAACCTAAAAACTACTTTTGCAGTTTCAGTTGAACCAAGCAGGCCTTAGAACCTTTACTGTGAAATCAACAGAACTACATGTGAATTACTCCAGGGTGGCAGGAAGAGAGTCTTAGCAGAAATGCCAAGATCCTATCTCATTCAGTACCAAAGAAAACAAAGTACCAGAAAGGAACTGGAAAAAGCCCTCCCAACGGTCAAGATGGGAGTACCACTGCATTTGTTGTACCTCATCTCAGAGACTGGCAAGAAGGGGAAGTATTTTCGAACCTTTGCTAAGAAGGTGAAAAAACAACATATTTATGAAGTAAGTTTTTCCATTTGCATTCCAAATCCCCTTTCTCCCCATTACTGCTCAAAAAGCAAGCTAACCCACCCCCCCATCCCCTAGCCCGCCCCGGCCCCATCCTCTCTCCAACTTTTTTTTTGAGGAAGATTAGCCCTGAGCTAACTACTGCCAATCCTCTTTCTGCTGAGGAAGACCGGCCCTGAGCTAACATCCATGCCCATCTTCCTCTACTTTATACGTGGGATGCCTACT